AGGTTGACATGTTCCTCTTTTGTTTCGGTGAAGATAAGAATGTCGTCAAGGTAAACAAGGACCCCCTTAAACAGGTGCTCCCTTAGAACATCATTGATTAATTGCATAAATACTGTGGGGCACCCTTGTAATCCAAATGGCAAGACTTTGAATTGATAGCACCCCATGGGGCAGTTAAATGCGGTCTTCCATTCATCCCCTTCCTTAATCCTCACGCGATAGTAAGCTTCCCTTAGGTCTAGTTTAGAAAATTATTTCCCTTTCGAGAGGTGTGACAACATGTCCTTCATGTGGGGCAGGGGGTATAGGTTGCTTTCACTGATTGTATTCAGGGCCCTATAATCCATGCATAAGCGTAAAGAGCCATCCTTCTTCTCTCGAAAGAGGACCAGGGCAGCTACTTTAGCCTTGGCTGGTTCAATGAACCCCCTTTGTAGGTTCTTCTTTATGAATCTCTCCATTTCCTCCTTCTCCTTTGGGCTCATGGAGTATAATCTGGGCTTCGGGAGTTTTGCCCCAGGCTTGAATTCAATAGCACAGTCTGTGGGTTGGTGGGGGGGGAGCTCATCCGCCCTCTCCTCACTGAAAACCTCAGCAAGGTCTCGGTATTCCTCTGGTATTTCTGATAGTCCCTTCTTCTCTCCCATGGATGCTTTTTTCTGTTCTTGATTCTGTTAGCCCCCTTTTGGCTTTTAAGTCCATGGGGTCTCCCTTCGGGAATTTGATTTCTGCCGTTCTCCAATTCACCCAGGGGTTCCATTTTTTTAACCATTCCATCCCTAGGATCATTGGGCATTCCATGCCTAGGGTCACCACAAATGTTATGTCCTCCTCATGTTTGCCCAGGGAGAGGTGTATTGGTAAAGTGGATAGGGTAGCTGGCACCCTCCCTGCTATGGACCCATCTAACTGGCCAAAGGAGATTGGTTGTTCCAGTCTCCTCGACGGAATGCCCAGAATCCCCACTAATGTCGGGCTAATGAGGCAGCGGGTGCAGCCAGAGTCTATTAAGGCTTTCACCTTCACGGCTTCGGGAATGGGGGGAATTAATATAGTCACTGTCTTGAGGATGGGTGCAATGCGTCCACTTACCAGGGGTTCGCCCTCCGAGCTGTCATCTGAGGCATCCACCGGCCCTGCAGTGTAGGCTGGAGTTCTTTCCCCCAGATGAACAGAGGTGGGTGGTTCCACAATTTCCATCATTCTCATGGCAGTTTCTTTTGGCTTAGCTGAAGACTTTCCAGATTTACTGATTGGGGATCTGTCTGGGTTGTGCTGGGGGGCTTTGGAGCGGCATTCTACAGCTCGATGCCCTTCTCTTCCGCACTTGAAACACCCTATTTGCTTCTTGACTGTAGCCAATGGTTTCACTGGTTCGTGTGTCAACTCAGGCGGGGAGCGGCTCCATTGTTTTCCTCGGCGGTGTCTCTTCAATATGTCGATCTCTGCTTCCTCTGCCAAGACGTACCATTCCTCAAGTTGGTGTGGGTCCCCTTGGGGCAGGCAAGCGTCATATAGGTCAGTGGTTCTTAACCTGGGCGATATTGCCCCCCAGGGGGCGATTCCATTTTTCAGGGGGGCGATGGAACAAAAAGGGGCGACACGAGGGCAAAGGAATGAAAAGGGGCAATATGGAGGCGATGGCGCGAGACGTTTTGGGGACACTTTTGAGATTCGTACAGTGAATCGCTGTATATCTGTCGTATAAAAACATCGGATCACTTGCTATTAGTGGATTGAATTGTGTTTTCAAATGTTCCTCCAGCTAGCTTCAGTACAGAACGCCGTACATATGTGAATACGCATCGCTTATCTTCATGCGCATTGTGCAGCAGCCTGTACCCATACAGTGGCACGCCATTGGCCAGAATATGGGAGATATGGGAAAAAGACTGGAAATAAGTATGTCCTGATGACAATTTTAAAGAAAACAAAAAATGTGTTTGCATAAATTGAAGAATTATTTCCTATGTTGTGATTGAGAGGTTATGTTGGGGGAGGGGGGGCGATGACAACTTCCTCATTGGCTCAAGGGGGCGATTCGTTCAAAAAGGTTAAGAACCACTGATATAGGTCATAATTTAGTCCGTCTTTGAAATGGCTAAGGAGGATGTCTTCTGGCCCGTTCAGTTTGCTGGCAATGGCCCGGAATTCTTGTGTATATTCAGCCACCGGGCGTTTGCCTTGCCTCATTGTTTTTATCCTTTCGCGGGCTTTGCGATCAGCCAGGGGGTCTTCAAATCACCTTCTCAGAGAGGACATGAAACGGTTGAAGTTATTGAGTTCTGGGGCATTGGAGTCGTGCAAGTTCACCACCCAGTCTGCAGCCGGTTCGTCCAGGGCAGATTGCACGATCCGGATGCGGGCTTTGTCGCTGGGGATGTCCCGCCCATATTCCTCCATGTAGCTGAGGATTTGGGTTAGGAAAAACCCCAAGCGTGTTGGCTCCCCTTTGAATTTCACCTCCAATGGCAGATGTCTTGGAATGGATCGGTGCCTCCATTGTTGGTGGTAATGTCTTCCGTCCAGATCGCCATCTGTGGTTTGGTAGGGGGTAGGGACTACTGGATCGGCAGATGTCCCCGGGGTTGCAGGTTCCACTTCCCTCTCAGTGTCTCTTCCTTTGCGGCTCCAGGAACTGGGGCGGCCGTAAGGCTCAGGATTCTCCTCTCCTCGGGAGCTGAGAGTTCTCTTCATCAGGTCAATAGCTTTCTCTAGGATCCAGTCTGAGTACGGTGCCCAGTTTCTCCCTCTTCACTTGCGTGCAGGGATTTCTCCATCTCCTGCTTCCATTCTGGTTGCTTGGCCACCCGTCTAAGGGTCACCTTTCTTGACTCCTTTCCCCACTCGCTTTTCTTTCCAACGCCCATTGACCAGCGAGGTTTGTGGTCCCGTGTCTCCACACTTCTTCTCCTGAGGAATCTGACCTCTCGGATCCCGACATCGGGCAAGGTTCCAGTCGAGGCAGCGGTTCTCTTTCCGGGGAGTTTTCCCCCTTTCTTGCTCCATTGTCTGATATGGTAGTTGGGGAGGGAAACTGGTGGCACGGAAAGAGGCCGACCCTCAGGTTCAGCAACTGTGATGATGTTGGCTCTGGCCTCAGCCAAGTGGCACTTCGGCTGCACTAGGGATGCCCGGAGTGAAGAATAGCTGCGGCGGCAACCCGCCTTCCACTTTTGCGGCTGCAGAAGTTTCCCTCCAATCAGTCTGATGCACCTGAAGGGGAGAGGGTTGAGAGCCTCCAGGCAGAGGCCACAAAAGGAGGAGAGGATCCTGCAGCGGGCAGCACGGGTCTGCGTGGAGAGACAATCCGCTGATTCCCCACCCGGCAGGTGGGATCACGGACCAGCCAAGGGAAGGGAAGCCATTGTCCCTGGCATTGTGGAGTCTGCAAAAGGAAAGAACCTCAGAGCGGCAGCGTGGGGCTGCACCACAGGATGATCTGCCGATTCCCCACCCGGCAGGTGGGATCACAGACCGGCCGAGGGCAGGGAGGCCATTGTCCCCAGCTTCAGCCAGGTGGTGTGCTGGCTGCTGGGCAGAGGCTGTGAAAGGAGAGGACCCAGAGCAGGGAAACCATCATCGCAGCACCCGGGGATTGTGCATCACCGCCAAGGAGGATGAAAGAGGAGGGCTGGCCGGGGACGGGATGGCGGCAGGTGCAGCACTGCCCACGGGGGGAATCTGACCAGCCGCAGCCTGGAGGGGGGTGGAGAGGCTGAGGGAGCCTGAAGAGAGGCAGGCACGGTGCTTGGTGTAGCCACTCTCCCCCCTCCCCCCATATCCTGCAGAAGGGCTGGCTTGCTTCAGCGTCATCTGGGCAGGCCTCGCCGCTGATTTGCCCAGCAATGCTGGCGAGCCCGGCCTTCCTTCCTTCCTTCCTTCCTTCCTTCCTTCCTTCCTTCCTTCCTTCCTTCCTTCCTTCCTTCCTTCCTTCCTTTCTCCCTCCCCTCCTTCCTTCCTCTCTCTCTCTTTCTCCAAAGTCCAAACTTATGTGTCCTCCTTCTTCTGTAAAGTGCGCAGACGCCATGTCCTACTTGTCTTCTCCAAATTCACATCCACCATCACTTCCAAAGGCCATCTCGCTCACTCGCTCTCTTGCTGTATTCCCGCCAAAACCTACTTTTATATTGGTTCCCCTCTCCCTGCTGAGCTTTCACAACTGTTCCCATGAGAGCGCTGCTGAATTCGGTTTTCCTGCCCTCTTCAGTTCCTACTAGTCAGGTGCACGTGGAAAAGGGGAGAGCAGCATCCCTCTGGCGCACGTGCTGACAGGGCTCTGCATGCCCAGTCTGGCACGCGTGCCATAGGTTTGCCACCACAGTCCTAGGGGAAATTCTTTTATTTTGAATTTTCTTTAAAAAAAACTAAAATGAAAATTTAAAAATTAGAGACTAGAGGGACTAAATATCACAACTACAAAAATTACAAAAAACTCATAAACTGAACTTACAATTACAGAATGAAGCAAAATATTCTAACATTGGACATATTGATGAATATTTTTGAACAATGAACTCAGAAGTTAATTTTAATGGTGCCCACAGAGACATCTGCCTCAATGGAATGACTATGTTTAAGAGATATTATGGAAGAAGAACATGTTCTACCTGACAAGATAGAGACTGATTTGAAAGTGGATTTACAGATGATATGCTACAAGAATGACATGGAAAAAGATGCACTGGACATTTAAAAGAAAGCTGCTGATGTCTTAATATTGTATGAAATTTGTATGAGACCAAAACTATGATGTTACTAAATAAAATGCCCTTTTCAATCTAGTATTCCCTAGTATTGTTCAATAGTCAACATTTCATTTGGCCATACTACCTGAGGATTTGGAGATAAATTTTAATATATGAGAATAGTAAAATACAGAAAGTTGTAATGAATTTAACTCAATTAAATATGATGATAGTTTAAACATTTTATTTTTTTAACATTGGTTCACTTTTTGGCAAGATTGTGTTACAATTTTTCATGGAAATATTTTTCAGGTCCCCCAGGACCCCCTGGAGGACTCAAAGTAGAAGACATTAAAAATACATCTGTATTTCTTACATGGAGCCGTGGGATAGAAAATCATAGTCCTATATCAAATTACACTATTCAGTCAAGGACTTTTCTGTCCGAATATTGGAAAGACATGAAAACAGGTAAGGAACCTATTAAAAATATTAGCTTGGGGCCTAAATAATAAAATATCATTCTTGGTATAGTTTCATTCATAAAACACTTTTATTAGCAGAACACTGTTTTAATTACTTCTGATAATGTGCTACCAAGCTAGAAACAACAACAAAATGAATCAGTTTATATGGTAGTACTTGTACTTTTGGCTCAACAATCGTTTAACCACTAGAAATGCACTTCAAAGCTCAAAGTATAGCAGGTTTTCATATGATTTTCTCAAGCTTGTTAAATGTCATAAAATATTACATTACTGCAACAACAGCAAAATAATTTTGCTAAATTAGCAATTATTTTGCTAAATTGTACATCTTAAGACAAAATTGCTATATTTGCACAGCATATAAGCCTAGCCAAAAGTCTAGCTCAGCATGTTGTATGTACCTGGCCATTTTTCTAGCATGCATTAGCAAGATGTGTTGAGTGAAGGGAGGTGTATTTATTTGGGCGTAACATGTTACAAGAATATAAAACTGTCTGTTGTAAATCCAGAATTATGGCTTATTTTTAAGAAGGATTGAATATTTCTTCCCTGCCACAATTCTTTTGCAAATCCCCTCCCAACCTGTACATTTTACAATTTGTACATTCACACTCAACTTGTCCCAAGCAAAGGTCTTCCAGGTGATCTTCAAATCTATCCAACTTAGTAACAGATGTGTGTAATGTGTTTATATTTCTGTGCTTTGTCTCACTAATTTATTCCATTGTTATATGGATGTAAGATGACCTCCTCAATTTATAAAATTAGCATTGGTTAAAATACATAACTTACTTTAACTACCATAGCCTAGACCAGGGGTAGGCAACCCAAAACACTCAAAGAGCCACTTGGACCCATTTCCCACTGAAAACAAAACACTGGGAGCCACAAAACCCTTTTGCTATCTAAAATGAAGATAACACTGCATATATCATTTTTTACCTTTAAAATATACATACATACATGCATGCATGCATACATATACATATATCTCATAAAGGTAAAACAGGATATACTGTATGCAGTGTTATCTTCATTTTAGATGTCAAAAAGGTCTCTCTCTGTCTCCCTCCCTCCCTCCCTCTCTCTCTTTCTGCTCTTGGTCTGCCAGTCCTCTTCCCCCACTCTCTCTCTCTTTCTCTCCCCCCCTCCCTCTCTCCGATCTTCTGCTCACCTGGCAAGTTGCCTTCAAGCTGTTCTCCAACAAGCTCGGGGGTAGGCAACCTCAGCTCTTTTATGACTCATGGACTTCAACTCCCAGAATTCCTGAGTCAGCATAGCTGGGCTAGCTAGCTCTCTCCTGCCCTTCCTGCTTCCTGCAGAGACGCAGCAAAGGGAGGAGCCCCGCCCAAAAAGCTTTTCAGCTTGTCAGAGAACGTGAGTCTACTCTCTTTTACACACACACACACACAAAACCACAAACACAAACACAGAGAGAGACAGATATAGAGAGAAGGGAAGCGCAAGTGCCCCTCTCTGTCTCTCTGTAAATGGCAGAGGAAGCTGGGAGCCACAGGGGAAGGCTCAAAGAGCCGCATGCGGCTCCGGAGCCGCAGGTTGCCGACCTGTGGCCTAGACACATTAGAATATAAATTGGGAAAGTGAGATACGTATGAAAAATGGGAAGTAGTGTAAGGAACAGATGGACTGGTAGGATACTCTGCACTAATCATCATTATACAGATTTTAAAGTAAAGTGTAATGCAATATATTTGCATATGCCCTTTATATTCCTTAATGCCTTTGCCTGTTACTGGCAAGACTGTATGTATCTAAGGCAACCTGTCAGAATCCAATTATATTTCATCTTTAGTTATCAAATATAGAAAACCCCAATTCTGCCTTCTCTGGATTCTGCCATAAGAGGAGAGAAGGGGGAGAACAAAGGGGTTTTATGGCCCTCACTTCCTTCAGTATACTTCTAAGGAACCGAATGTGTTCATTGCAACCTCAAAGAGTTTGAATGTGGTTAGCACCAAAAGACCTTATAACAAAGGAGGCTATTTACTTTTCATGTAGTTTATCTGAAGTCTCCATCCAGATGGAAGAAAGGAAAAAAGGAGTGGGATTGTGATGCCTGGAAGGGGGTGTGTGATTGGGTGGGACTACTGGGAAAACCCTTAAAACCTCGAATGGGAGAGCTTGAACCCCAAGTCCTGTCTAGCACGCCGGCAACCATTTTCTCTTAATAAAGGATTGCTGTTGGAAGAATTATTCCAAGAGTTCTGTCTTCTTAAGATGCAAAGTGGGGTGGGCCCTTACATTAGACAGGACTTGCAAAATTAATCCACCTGGAAGGGAGACCCTTGCCGGGGGATTTTGCAAAAAATTACCATGTCAGACAATGGAGCAACAGAGGGGGAAAACTCCCTGGAAAGAGAGCCGCTGACCCAGTTGGAACCTTGCCAGATGTTGGGATCCGAGAGGTCAGATTCCTCAGGAGAAGAAGTGGTGGAGACATGGGACCACAAACCTTGCTGGTCAATGGGCATTGGAAAGAAAAGTGAGTGGAGAAAGGAATCAAGAAAGGTGACCCTGAGACGGGGGACCAAGCAACCAGAATGGAAGCAGGAGATGGAGAAATCCCTGCACGCAAGTGAAGAGGGAGAAAGCTGGGCACCGTACTCAGACTGGATCCTAGAGAAAGCTATTGACCTGATGAAGAGAACTCTCAGCTACCTAAGAGAGGAGAACCCTGAGCCCTACGGCCGCCCCAGCTCCTGGAGCCGCAAAGGGAGAGACACCAAGGGGGATGTGGAACCTGCAACCCCGGGGACATCTGCTGATCCAGTAGTCCCCACCCCCTACCGGACCACAGATGGCGATCTGGACGGAAGACACTACCACCAACAATGGAGGCACCGATCCATTCCAAGACGTCCGCCTTTGGAGGTGAAATTCAAAGGGGAGCCAACACGCTTGGGGTTTTTCCTAACCCAAGTCCTCAGCTACATGGAGGAATACAGGCAGGACATCCCCAGCGACAAAGCCTGCATCCGGATCATGCAATCTGCCCTGGATGGACCGGCTGCAGATTGGGTGGTGAACTTGCATGACTCCAATGCCCCAGAACTCAGTAACTTCAACCATTTCATGTCCTCTCTGAGAAGACGATTTGAAGACCCCCTGGCTGATCGCAAAGCCCGTGAAAGGATAAAGATGATGAAGCAAGGCAAACGCCCGGTGGCTGAATATACCCAAGAATTCCGGGCCATTGCCAGCAAACTGAATTGGCCAGAAGACATCCTCCTTAGCCATTTCAAAGACGGACTAAATTATGATCTATATGACGCTTGCCTGCCCCGAGGGGACCCATACCAACTTGAGGAATGGTACATCTTGGCAGAGGAAGCAGAGATCGACATATTGAAGAGACACCGCCGAGGAAAACAATGGAGCCGCCCCCCGCCTGAGCTGACACATGAACCAGTGAAATCATCGGCTACAGTCAAGAAGCAAATGGGGTGTTTCAAGTGCGGAAGAGAAGGGCATCGAGCTGTAGAATGCCGCTCCAAAGCCCCCCAGCACAACCCAGACAGATCCCCAGCCAACAAATCCGGAAAGTCTTCAGCTAAGCCAAAAGAAACTGCCATGAGAATGATGGAAATTGTGGAACCCCCCACTTCTACTCACCAAGGGGAAAAAACACCAGCCTACACCACAGGGCCGGTGGATACTTCAGATGACAGCTCGGAGGGAGAACTCCTGGTAAGTAGACACATCGCACCCATCCTCAAGACAGGGACTATATTAATCCCCCCCATGCCTGAAGCTGTGAAGGTGAAAGCCTTAATAGCCTCTGGCTGCAGCCGCTGCATCATTAGCCCAACACTAGTGGGTAATCTGGGCATCCCATCGAGGAGACTAGAGCAACCAATCTCATTTGGCCAGTTAGATGGATCCATAGCGGGGGGGGTACCAGCTACCCTAGCCACTCTACCAATACACCTCTCCCTGGGCAAACATGAAGAGGACATAACGTTTGTGGTGACCCCAGGCATTGAATGCCCAATGATTCTAGGGATGGAATGGTTGAAAAAATGGAATCCCTGGGTAAATTGGAGGACGACAGAAATCAAATTCCCGAAGGGGGACCCTATGGACTTAAAACCCCAAGGGAGGCCACCAGAATCAAGAATAGAAAAAGCATCCATAGGAGAGGGAAAAAGATTAACAGAAATACCAGAGGAATATAGAGACCTTGCCCTCAGTGAGGAGAGGGCAAATGAGCTCCCCCCCCCACCGACCCACAGACTGTACCATTGAATTCAAGCCTGGGGCAAAACTCCCGAAGCCCAGATTATACTCCATGAGCCCAAAGGAGAAGGAGGAAATGGAAAGATTTATTAAAAAAAAACCTAGAGAGAGGTTTCATTGAGCCAGCCAAGCCTAAAGTGGCTGCCCCGGTCCTCTTTAGAGAGAAGAAGGACGGCTCTTTACACTTATGCGTGGATTATAGGGCCCTGAATACAATCAGTGAAAGCAACCTATACCCTCTACCCCTCATGAAAGACATGCTGTCACACCTATCGAAAGGGAAAAATTTTTCTAAACTAGACCTAAGGGAAGCTTACTATCGTGTGAGAATCAAGGAAGGGGACGAATGGAAGACTGCATTTAACTGCCCCATGGGGTGCTATCAATTCAAAGTCTTGCCATTTGGATTACAAGGGGGCCCTGCAGTCTTTATGCAATTAATCAATGACGTTCTAAGGGAGCACCTGTTTAAGGGGGTCCTTGTTTACTTGGACGACATTCTTATCTTCACCGAAACAAAAGAGGAACATGTCAACCTTGTCAGAGCGGTTTTAAAGAAGCTGCGAGCCGCCCACCTATATGCCAAACTCTCAAAATGCGAATTCCACCAGGAAAGGATAGACTACCTAGGTTATCGCATATCCCCCCAGGGCATTGAAATGGACCCAGAGAAGGTCAAAGCAGTATTAGATTGGGCACCACCCCGCACAAGAAAGCAACTACAAAGTTTCCTGGGCTTTGCAAACTTTTACCGCCAATTCATCCCCTCATTTGCCCAGATAGCCTTGCCCCTCACTAACTTACTAAAAACGAAGGGAGCATCCTCAGTAAAACCTAGCCAGCCACTAACATGGACAATGGAGTGCCAAGCAGCGTTTGAGAGACTAAAGAGACTTTTTTCTGCCGAACCAGTACTAAGGCACCCAGACATGGACAAGCCCTTCGTAATACAGGCAGATGCAAGTGATGTGGCAGTGGGGGCTGTTCTATTACAAGAAAACAATGAAGGGGTATTGCAACCCTGTGCATATACATCCAAGAAACTCACGGAAACAGAACAGCGCTGGCCCGTATGGGAGAAGGAGGCTTATGGGATACGTTGGGCATTACTCACATGGCGACAGTTCCTGGAAGGCAACAAAATCCCCTTCCAGGTGTGGACTGATCACAAACATTTGGAAGCCCTAAAAACATCCAGGAAACTCAATCCCAAACAAGCCCGCTGGTCCCAGCATTTTCACCAGTTCCAATTTAAGCTCAAACATTTACCAGGGAGAAAGAACTTCCTGGCAGATGCTTTATCTCGCATGCCTCAATATAACAGCGCATGAACCACAGACTCTAGACCAATAATGGCAGAGTCACAACTGGCAGCACCAGTAACCACAAGAACCCAAGCCAAATTAAAACCACAACTGGACAGCCAAACTGGAATTGAATTCCGGAAAAGTCTGGAAACAGATGAATGGTTCCAGAAAAACAAAAATGTGTGCACAATGAGAGACGGGTTGCCTTGGGTAGGGGAAAAGTTATATATACCAACAACCCAAAGAGTCACATTCATGCAGCTTTGCCATGACACAAAATCAGCAGGGCATTTTGGATTTGTAAAAACTTTACATTTAATTAAATGGCAATTTTGGTGGCCATCCATGAAAAAGGACATAGAAAATTATATTGCCAGCTGCCCAACATGTGCATCTGCAAAGAGGTTGCAAGGGAAATCGCCAGGGCTATTACAACCAGTGGCAAATCCCTCAGCCCCCTGGAGGGAAATAGCCATGGATTTTATAGTGGAATTGCCAGAAAGCAATGGGAATACTGTGGTCTGGACAGTCACGGACTTGTTTTCCAAACAGGTGCACTTTATCCCCTGCCAAAAGAGTCCCACTGCAAAAGCCTTAGCAAAACTTTTCGTCCAGCACATTTACAGATTGCAGGGGGCACCCCAACGCATCATCTCTGATAGGGGAGTGCAATTTACGTCTGCATTTTGGAAGGAATTTTTATCTCTCTTAGGGACCACTCAGGGACTGACATCTAGCCATCACCCTCAGACAGATGGACAAACGGAACGGTGCCATTCAGTACTTGAGCAATATTTGAGATGCTTTTTAAATTTCCAACAGAGTGATTGGATGGACTTACTTCCTTTTGCAGAAGTTGCCTACATTAATGCAGTCCACTCCAGCACAGGTTACACTCCTTTTCAAATAGCCACCGGTCAAAGTTTCAACCCCATGCCAGAATTAACCCCAAACAAACCAACGATCCCTTCGCTGAAAGAATGGATGGAGAAACTACAAAACACCTGGCCAATAGTCAGAAAAGCACTAGATGAAGCTAGGCAGGCATACAAAACACAAGCCGATAAAAAAAGGGTTGAGCCTACACAATTCATTATAGGAGAAATGGTGTACTTATCTACAAAATACCTAAAGTCCCTACAGCCCTGTAAAAAACTTGGACAAAAATATATAGGACCTTTTCCAATTAAAAGAATCATAAATCCAGTAACAGTAGAATTAGAATTACCCCAAAATCTCAGGCAAATACACCCAATTTTTCATTGCAGCTTGCTGAAAAGAGAGCGTCAGTCACCTCTACGGCCAAAAATCCCCTCCCCCACCACCTCCAATCATGGTGGAGGGCGAACAACACTTCGAAATAAAGGAAATCCTTGACTCTAGGAGATATCATGGAGCAACTCAGTACCTAGTTGCCTGGAAACACCTCCCTCCCTCACAAAACGAGTGGGTCCATAAATGTCATGTCAGAGCACCGAAGCTATTGAAGAAGTTTTACACAGAGTATCCTAACAAGCCTGACTAACTTTTATACCTGTTTTGTTTCTTCCAGGTGGATCTCTCTTATTTTGAGGGGGCCGGATATCAGAATCCAATTATATTTCATCTTTAGTTATCAAATATAGAAAACCCCAATTCTGCCTTCTCTGGATTTTGCCATAAGAGGGAGAGAAGGGGGAGAACAAAGGGGTTTTATGGACCTCACTTCCTTCAGTATACTTCTAAGGAACTGAATGTGTTTATTGCAACCTCAAAGAGTTTGAATGTGGTTAGCACCAAAAGACCTTATCATAACAAAGGAGGCTATTTACCTTTCATGTACTTTATCTGAAGTCTCCATCCAGACGGAAGAAAGGAAAAAAGGAGTGGGATTGTGATGCCTGAAACTATCACTGGAAGTGGGTGTGTGATTGGGTGGGACTACTGGGGAACCCCTTAAAACCTCGAATAGGAGAGCTTGAACCCCAAGTCCTGTCTAGCACGCCTGCAACCATTTTCTCTTAATAAAGGATTCCTGTTGGAAGAATTATTCCAAGAGTTCTGTCTTCTTAAGATGCAAAGTGGGGTGGGTCCTTATTCAACCCTAGAGTACAACTCTATGTTTTATACTATATGTAGCATGGGTATATCGCCTTACAGCTAAATTAGAAGAACCAGTTCATAATTTGTTCTATTGCATCTTATCCATTATGCTTAAATTGTTGCTGTATGTGTTGTAACTCAAATTACTCCCAATTTATTTGTTGTTGTTTAATATGAATGCACAATTTGATTTGTGTGGGTCCATATTCTATAGATGCCATTTCTCTTATGAAACCATGTTAACTACAATGGTATCCTTCTTAGCTATCTATTTATATAAGGCTTGGGAACCATATAGTTTTGAGATCATGGTTGGAGGAATAACTTCCAGAATTATCAACTAAAAATACTGAATCATTTTTGGGGGGTCAGCTTTGTATAGATGACAGAGAACATCTAAGCCAGTGTTTCTCAACCTTAGCAACTTTTAAGATGTGAGTACTACAACTTCCAGAATTCTCCAGTCAACAGGCTGGAAGTTGAAATCAACACAATTTAAAGTTGCCAAGATTGAGAAACACTGATTTTAGGCAGTATGAAAATATTCTCAAAGAAGGATGAAATGAGCTCGTTAAAGATTCTACTAGACCTATTATTAATAGGATGTTCATGTAAGAGCAATATCAAAGAAAACGCTTGTAATATCCAAACAATATTATTTGCAGACTGCTTTTCAAAAAATTGTATCAGCAAGCACAAAAACAGTGTTTCTCAACCTGGCTGTGGAATTCTGGAAGTTGAAATCCACATGCCTTAAAATTGTCAAGGTTGAGAAACACTGCACAAAAACATTATCTTAGCACTGGTTTGGGCAATTGGTTCTTTTGTAATATTTATTACACCAATCACATTGATTACCAATGTGCTTCTGACTAATATTTCAAGTAATTGTTTTACCCATTAAATACTATAATATCGTTTTAAAAAGTCAGTCCATGATTATATCATGAGGTATTTCCTAAAGGATGTGCAGCTATGAATGCAGTTATCTCTTGACATTCAGACTGTTCAGAATTTTGCACTTTTTTTCAAAAGGTGCATAAAAAGGTACAAAAACAATTACCTACATTAGTGAAAAATGTATAAACACATATATGGAATGTAGCTTTTAAACTGCAGCTATTAAAAAAAACGAAAGTTCTTTTCAAAGAAATGTGTTGCATACACATTTTATTTTTAAAAATTACAACCTGCTGAATAAATGAACAAAAACAATTCAAAATGGGCAAAATGAAAAACAGAAAAATCATCCTGGCAGATTTCTCCATCCCTATTTATGGATTCATTAGAGAAATTAAACTTGTTTATTTAGCAACCAAAATCATTTGAGCAAGCCAATATTGGATGTTATGATATTTTTGTTGCGGTGCTGTTTTTAATTATTGTCTTTTCTTGTATTTAGATCCTTCCATTGTTGATGGAAATGCGGAATCAGCAAAAGTTATTGATTTAATTCCATGGATGGAATATGAATTTCGTATAATGGCCACTAATATTTTAGGGACAGGAGATCCTAGTATACCATCACAGAAAATTAGAACAGAAGGATCTCGTACGTACAAAAAATGTTGCATTTGATTTAATTGTTTTGAAGTTCAGAATGATTATTTGATTATTTGATAACTTCAGTGAATTATTACATATGCAAAATTGAACACATTTTCTACACATTCAAGCATTTGTGTTTCTGAATTTTTTTCTATACTAGAATCACTTTAAAAACCTTTACTGGAAGATATAAAGCCAAACACATCTTCAAACACATCCACAAATAGTCCTCGATTTATAACTGTTCATTTAGTGACCATTCAAAGTTACAATGGCACTGAGAAAACTAACTTATGACCATTTTTCACATGACCATTGCAGCATCCCTGTGATCATGTTATCACCTTTTGTGATCTTCTGACAAGCAAAATCAATGGGGAAGACAGGTTCATTTATCAGCCGTGTCAATAATGGAACAATTGCAGTGATTCACTTAACAACTGTGGTAAGAAAGGTTGTAAAAGGGCGCAAAGCTCACTTAACAACTATTTCACTTAGAAACAGAAATGTTAGGCTCAATTGTGGTCATAATTTGAGGACTACCTGTATTTGATTTCCAATATATAGAGAGTTCTCTTAAAGCACATTATATTCTCCTTTACAACTTTGAGCCTTCCGAAATATCCTAGGGTGGGATTGCCCAGAACTGGACTATTCTGTCTGCTCTACACAAGAAATGCATCCATTAAGAGATGCATTTTAACTAAATATGAGAACTTTCAGATAGTATAATATATTAAACTTAATCATGTTCAGTATATTATAAAGTTATTTTTAATAACTTAAAAAAATAATGCATCATTTTTATATTTTTAAAAACAAATATATCTTAGCTTTTCACCAGTTCATCTGGTACTTAAGTCAACTTTAGATTCCTACAATTGCTAATTCATTAAGTGAATTCTGAAGTCATTAAGCAAATGTTGTGATTAAGCAAATACCATGGGCATTTTTCACTGGACACTAGAAGTAAATGACAAAAACCAGAAAAAAATGTCACAAATTATGGTCATGAGACTGCAGAACATGCAAACAACCATAAAGGTGAGCCAGTTGCCAAGCAGCCAAAATGCAATCACATGACCTCAGGGGTGTGCAGTTGTTGTAACTTCAAAAATGGATTATAAGTAGATTTTGGGGAGTCAAGCATAACATCAAACAGTTATTAAGTGATCACCTGTAAGCCGAGAACTATCTGTACGATGAGCACTTTTTATGTTTTGCTTACCAACCAAATATAATAAAGAGTAAAGATTTATGTTCTCAGGAGCAGAATTTTCAGACCCAGCTGATGGACAATAATAAACATATCTCTTTCTTTAGCCAGACAGGTAGATGTATTTGATTTAAAGTGTTGGCACTCAAGGTTGACATGTTCCTCTTTTGTTTCGGTGAAGATAAGAATGTCGTCCAAGTAAACCAGGACCCCCTTAAACAGGTGCTCCCTTAGAACGTCATTTATTAATTGCATGAAGACTGCAGGGCCCCCTTGTAATCCAAATGGCAAGACTTTGAATTGATAGCACCCCATGGGGCAGTTAAATGCAGTCTTCCATTCGTCCCCTTCCTTAATTCTCACACGATAGTAAGCTTCCCTTAGGTCTAGTTTAGAAAATTTTTTCCCTTTCGATAGGTGTGACAGCATGTCTTTCATGAGGGGTAGAGGGTATAGGTTGCTTTCACTGATTGTATTCAGGGCCCTATAATCCACGCATAAGCGTAAAGAGCCGTCCTTCTTCTCTCTAAAGAGGACCGGGGCAGCCACTTTAGGCTTGGCTGGCTCAATGAAACCTCTCTCCAGGTTTTTTTTTTATAAATCTTTCCATTTCCTCCTTATCCTTTGGGCTCATGGAGTATAATCTGGGCTTCGGGAGTTTTGCCCCAGGCTTGAATTCAATGGTACAGTCTGTGGGTCAGTGGGGGGGGAGCTCATTCACCCTCTCCTCACTGAAGACTTCAGCAAGGTCTCTATATTCCTCTGGTATTTCTGTTAATCTTTTTTCCTCTCCTATGGATGCTTTTTCTATTCTTGATTCTGGTAGCCTCCCTTGGGGTTTTATGTCCATAGGGTCCCCCTTCAGGAATTTGATTTCTGTCATCCTCCAATTTACCCAGGGGTTCCATTTTTTCAACCATTCCATCCCTAGAATCATTGGGCATTCCATGCCTGTGGTCACCACAAACGTTATGTCCTCTTCATGTTTGCCCAGGGAGAGGTGTATTGGTAGAGTGGCGAGGATAGCTGGCACCCCCCCTGCTATGGATCCATCTAACTGACCAAATGAGATTGATTGTTCCAGTCTTCTCGATGGGATGCCCAGATTACCCACTAGTGTTGGGCTAATGAGGCAGTGGGTGCAGCCAGAGTCTGTTAAGGCTTTCACCTTCACAGCTTCGGGCATGGGGGGAATTAATATAGTCACTGTCTTGAGGATGGGTACAATGTGTCCACTTACCAGGGGTTCGCCCTCCGAGCTGTCATCTGAGGCATCCACCGGCCCTGTGGTGTAGGCTGGAGTTCTTTCCCCTTGGTGAGCAGAAGTGGGGGGGTTCTGCAATTTCCATCATTCTCATGGCCGTTTCTTTTGGCTTAGCTGAAGACTTTCCGGATTTGTTGGCTGGGGATCTGTCTGGGTTGTGTTGGGGGGCTTTGGAGCGGCATTCTACAGCTCGATGCCCTTCTCTTCCGCACTTGAAACACCCCATTTGCTTCTTGACTGTAGCCGATGATTTCACCGGTTCATGTGTTAGCTCAGGCGGGGGGCGGCTCCATTGTTTTCCTCGGCGGTGTCTCTTCAATATGTCGATCTCTGCTTCCTCTGCCAAGATGTACCATTCCTCAAGTTGGTGTGGGTCCCCTCGGGGCAGGCAAGCGTCATATAGATCATAATTTAGTCCGTCTTTGAAATGAATAAGGAGGATGTCTTCTGGCCAATTCAGTTTGCTGGCAATGGCCCGGAATTCTTGGGTATATTCAGCCACCGGGCGTTTGCCTTGCCTCATTGTTTTTATCCTTTCACGGGCTTTGCGATCAGCCAGGGGGTCTTCAAATCGTCTTCTCAGAGAGGACATGAAATGGTTGAAGTTACTGAGTTCTGGGGCATTGGAGTCATGCAAGTTCACCACCCAATCTGCAGCCGGTCCATCCAGGGCAGATTGCACGATCCAGATGCGGGCTTTGTCGCTGGGGATGTCCTGCCCGTATTCCTCCATGTAGCTGAGGACTTGGGTTAGGAAAAACCCCAAGCGTGTTGGCTCCCCTTTGAATTTCACCTCCAACGGTGGACGTCTTGGAATGGATCGGTGCCTCTGTTGTTGGTGGTAGTGTCTTCCATCCAGATTGCCATCTGTGGTCCGGTAGGGGGTGGGGACTACTGGATCAGTAGATGTCCCCAGGGTTGCAGGTTCCACATCCCCCTTGGTGTCTCTCCCTTTGCGGCTCCAGGAGCTGGGGCGGCCATAGGGCTCAGGGTTCTCCTCTCTTAGGCAGCTGAGAGTTCTCTTCATCAGGTCAATAGCTTTCTCTAGGATCCAGTCTGAGTACGGTGCCCAGCTTTCTCCCTCTTCACTTGCGTGCAGGGATTTCTCCATCTCCTGCTTCCATTCTGGTTGCTTGGTCCCCCGTCTCAGGGTCACCTTTCTTGATTCCTTTCCCCACTCACTTTTCTTTCCAACGCCCATTGACCAGCGAGGCTTGTGGTCCCGTGTCTCCACCACTTCTTCTCCTGAGGAATCCGACCTCTCGGATCCCAACATCTGACAAGGTTCCAATTTGGTCAGCGGCTCTCTTTCCAGGGAGTTTTCCCCCTCTCTTGCTCCATTGTCTGACATGGTAAATTTTTGCAATCCCCCGGCAAGGGTCCCCTTCCAGGTGGATTAATTTTGCAAGTCCTGTCTAATGTAAGGACCCACCCCACTTTGCATCTTAAGAAGACAGAACTCTTGGAATAATTCTTCCAACAGGGATCCTTTATTAAGAGAAAATGGTTGCAGGTGTTCTAGACAGGACTTGGGGTTCAAGCTCTCCCATTCGAGGTTTTAAGGGGTTCCCCAGTAGTCCCACCCAATCACCCCCCTCTTCCAGTGACAGTTTCAGGCATCACAATCCCACCCCCTTTTCTCCTTTCTTCCGTCTGGATGGAGACTTCAGATAAACTACATGAAAAGTAAATAGCCTCCTTTGTTATGATAAGGTCTTTTGGTGCTAACCACATTCAAACTCTTTGAGGTTGCAATGAACACATTCGGTTCCTTAGAAGTATACTGAAGGAAGTGAGGGCCATAAAACCCCTTTGTTCTCCCCCTTCTCTCCTCTTATGGCAGAATCCAGAGAAGGCAGAATTGGGGTTTTCTATATTTGATAACTAAAGATGAAATATAATTGGATTCTGACATCAACTTTAGATTCCTACAATTGCTAATTCATTAAGTGAATTCTGAAGTCATTAAGCAAATGTTGTGATTAAGCAAATACCATGGGCATTTTTCACTGGACACTAGAAGTAAATGACAAAAACCAGAAAAAAATGTCACAAATTATGGTCATGAGACTGCAGAACATGCAAACAACCATAAAGGTGAGCCAGTTGCCAAGCACCCAAAATGCAATCACATGACCTCAGGGGTGTGCAGTTGTTGTAACTTCAAAAATGGATTATAAGTAGATTTTGGGGAGTCAAGCATAACATCAAATAGTTATTAAGTGATCACCTGTAAGCCGAGAACTATCTGTATGATGAGCACTTTTTATGTTTTGCTTACCAACCAAATATAATAAAGAGTAAAGATTTATGTTCTCAGGAGCAGAATTTTCAGACCCATATCTCTTTCTTTAGATGCATTAGATTTAAAGTGTTGGCACTTACTTCCCTTTTGCTTGATTGGAAAGGGAAACATTTGTATCTTTACTCCTGGAATGTAAACCAAAACCCACAACAAAGATAGAAAAAAATACAATGAGCAATTTTAACATTATTATGAAAAGTAATGAAGTCATTGTATACT